CGCGCAGAGAAAATGCAGACTCTCACCGACGCACGAGCCAAAAGTACACTTCATTTTCAGTGTTGGTACAAGTTTCATATGTTGTTTTTTATTTTCTTGTGTAAAAAGAACCATTAAATTAAAGTCCATCAAATTGGTAAAATGCAAATGCTTGTAAATCATTTTGTTGCATTTTATTTTCGCTAAACTCGCCACACTCCCATAAAACAGAAACCATAGTATTGATTTAAATAATAACGTACTCAAAACTTAATGGGGATGGCTAAATAAGTAATATTCAGAATGGCAAATCAAAGAATTGAGAACGGAGAATGGCTTTTGGAGAGGTAGGGGACTGGATGCACTTCAAGACATGTTATCTCCTGCCTTTCATGTCACATACACATATGGGCAATGCAACTGGTTACATTGTGAATATGATGCTGTATGTTCCCAATTGTTGCAAACAAGATGCTTTTGAATTTGTCAATGATAACATATTTAGATGATCAAAGCATGAAATAAGAATGTGGAGAAAAGCATTTTCAAAAACACTGCTGTCTTCTTCCACTAACAGAATCATTTGTCATATTTGGTGATTAAGGGATCCAAGTAATAGCGAACTTCTAAGTCTCCAATGTTTATCTATAACTTCCAACGTTGGCATCCAGTGCAATGACACTGGGTAGCAGAATCAACCAAAACATCATTTGGATCTCTTTACCACTTAAAATATTAATATTTTCTCATCACATTCCTGTACTTGAAAATATTTTTTTCAAAAAATGCTACTTAGATCCCTTCATATTCACTACGCATAGTTAGATAATGCTGTTGGGTTAGAATAACAACTTGAGAAAGTGATAAAGATGACATCTAAAAGGTGCTGGGCCTAAATTTTATTTAAAAAAGGCAAGCAAAATGAAGCTATTGTAGTTCATAGTTCTGAAATAAAGTGTAATGGAATGAGTTATTACATAATATACTGCCCTTTGTATATTACACTGATTTGTCACACATTACTTATTTTTATTTCTAGGTTATCATTTTATTTTTAGTTTATAAATGCAAATGTATCTGAGAATTTATATAAGAAAACCTCAACATCTTTACAATTTATTTTTATACCAGTTGTGTTTGTTTTGAAACTCAGAAAAAATTGAAATATTACTATTCATAATTATTTCCTTACTTCTAATTCAGAATATTTTTGAAGTAAAGTTCTGATTGGATTCATTGGTGGTTGAGTTCGCCAGACACTTGGTTCGTGCATGCTTCCAGTGCTAACACGACGTGGTTTTATGGAACTGAAGTCAGTGGAACTATTTTCATAGCCACAGTCTGTATTATTTTGGTAGTCATATTCTTGGGCACCATTTTCAAACATTTTTAGAGTAGATTCCAAGTAATTTCTTCTGTCTTCCTTAGTATTGAATTTCTGTTTTTCTCTCACATGGGGGATGGGTGTTTTTTCATGTAAATCATTTTTTGAAAATGTTTCATCAGCAAAATTTGATAATTTTATTGCATTTTGTTCTCTGCTGTTGAGACTCATTTGAGTGGCTTCTGTGCTTCTTTTCGGTAATGAAGTTTGTATTATGGAAGAAGACGGAATCGTAATACATTCTTTTCTTGTATCTATGATGTCTAAAGTAAGCACTGATGCACCATTAACATTTGAATCATTTTGAATTCTTGAACTTTGACAAGATGAAGTCACACAAATCTCTTTAAAAAATGTTGGTTGTTCATACCCTAGTTTGTCAACAGTCTTCTTTATCATTGGAGGTTCTGTAACTGCATCTAGAGGTCTTCCATCTTGAGCAATCATTGCTGTAGGTGATGTCTGATTACTTGAGTTCATATTATATACGTTATCCATTTTGTATTTTTCCCAGCTTTGCGTTAACTTCAGAATACTTCCTGGGCTTTCAAGAGCCCTAAATTTTGACTCATTTTTGTCACTCGTTAATCTATGTACTTTAGAGAAGTTATTGACAGTTGATCTGCCTATTACATTTGTTGAAAGAGAATCATTTTTAATTTCTTCTTGATAATACATGTCTCTTTCATTTTCTTTTTGAAGCAGTGAAGTATTATTTCTCTTATCAATACTTTTTTTCTTTGTGTCTTCATTGAAGTTTTGAATTAACTGACTCACAACAGAAGATGATGGAGATCGGTTAAATATTTTAAATTTACTTTCACGTCTGGGAGGAGGAGGTGGTGGTTCAGAAGGTGGAATCTTGTCAAATTTAGCTCGAGTAGAGAGGAACTGTTTTCGATGTTCACGAATAGCTTGCCATCGTTCCAAGTTGTCATAAGAATCAAAAGAACGAGATCGGCGTACTCCATATGGGGTCTAAAAGAAATTAAAAAATGGTTAAAAATTAAGTAGAATTAAAATATAGTTATATTATCAAATAATATTATACTTACTTGATTATACATGTCTACAAGCAAGAATGATGGCTATTGATTCTAAAAAGTAGTCACACAATTTCTTCTAATGCAGGTAATGAGCAGTGGTAAATCAATGTTATCTATCACGAAGTCTTATCACACCGATAAGGGAGCAGCACACATTATCACCCAGGATGCACCAACATCTCATTTGAGATTGATAAGATGAACAAAAAGAAGATAAGTGACTTCTTTATTGGATTGATAGATACTTGTCAATGTATATCAGTTTCTTAATGTGAATAGGTATAAAAATGGAAATAAAAATTTGAGATCACAAGAAAGATGATTTTTACTATTCTCTTAGTATAACCTAAAACATAAGAATCAAGAGAAACACACAAAACTTCCAGAGCAGAAAGGAATCATGTCCTACAATTTTATATTACATTAAAAATATAACATGAAAGCTTTAACTCTGAACTTTTTAATACAGGATAAATTTCACAAAGTATCTTATATTATTCTAATGTTTCCAAACATTATAAACCTTTCCCAGCAATGACATATTCTGTAAAACCTTCATGCCTATTTTTCTCACAAGTTTTGTAATGTGTCTTGATTCCCTTGTTCTCTGAACTTCTTATATTAGTCACTAAACAGGAACATATTATGTCACTGTTAAAGAGACCATTATACGTAATTATAATATGCAACTAAATAATGTCTTTAATTATTATTATTATTATTATAGTTTTAAAAAAATTCACATTATCATCTTTTTAACAATATAGTTTGTATTATTGCAATTATGTAAAAGTGAAAAATGAAGGAGAACATAAGTAGTTTCGTATATTAAAATAGCTTCCTTTCTTAAAATGTACATCTTCACATTTTGCCTTTAGGCAAAAACAAAATACTGAATATTATGAAATCTTTTAACTACAGTTCAAAACAAATTAAAAGTGACTCTTTTAGAACTGTTTAAAATATTGCAAAAATAAAAACAAGTGGAGATGATAAAGAAATTGAAGTTCCTCAAAAAGAAATAACAGAATTTCAATATTAATATATTTTGGAATTTAAAGAAAATTGTTTTGAAGATAACAAAATTAACTCTGAAAATAGATACCGTGCAAATAAAGGTATCTTTCTTTACACATGTACCTTTTAACACAACCTTTTAAAATAATACAATCCTCACTACAGAGAAATATAAAAACAAAATTTCATAATGCATTAATAAATATTAAAAATTGGGCATATTGTATTTTGTAATTACTTATGAAGCAATTGAAGCAGAGAATAAGTTGGGAGTTGTGCTACACAAAGCTAGGAGTGCCATATCTAATAACCTTAATAAAAACATTTTTTTAACTGAACTTCACTCTCATTTCAATATGTATGGTGGTGCCTTGGTTTTCAAACCTTATTTGGTATTTTTCTTTGTAAATTTGTACTACGAAACAAGAGTAATGAAATTAATCAATGGCTAATGGGGAGATAGTGGGAGCTCATTGGAACAGCTTTAAAGCCTACTTCATGAAGATAATGATGCCAATACCAACAAAATTGGGCCTGGCTTTGTTTCCCTTCTAATAGTCTTAACCCATGTAGGAGGAGAAGGAAGGTGAAAGGGGCAAATTTTTCCACCTTTCATTTCTTTGCTTTAGTTTTTCAATTAACTTCACAATCAATTTTACTTATGCCAGTTGAAGAGCTACACAGACTGTGTTTACAACCATTTCATCCACTGTCTTCATTGTATATACTCTTTGTTTTCTTTTCCTGGTGACAAGCCTTTGCCCATCTTGGCCATCTAAATTATCAAGCTTTTGCTAAGAATTTATAAAATTGCAGAAAGAGTCCCATTGCCCAATTTTTTAAGTATGTTAAAATCATACTGAAACTCAAGTGCAGTGTGTTAGTTGTGTTCAAAGGATTAGGATAGACATGAATATTTGAACTGCAAAAAATTTGGTAAACATTGTAAGTGATTGAACTATAATTTCATGATTTCAATGAACTTGTACTTGAATTAATATAGTGAAGTAATTTGCATGAAGGTATGAGTTACATTATTAATAAAATTATGATTTTGTTCAAAGATTTAGTAGGAAAAAATTTGTCTTCCCTGAAATCCATGTGACATAACAAAGGTTGGGGCTGGTAGGATTAATACTGTTGTGTACTGTACATAATAAAAGAGAAATAAGTTCAATAATAATAATAATAATAATAATAATAATAATAATAATAATAATAATAATAATAAAAATTTGATGACTAAAGCAAAATAATGAAAGATTCTCTAATAGAAAAGTTGATATTCCTGGTTGTCAAAATCAAATTTCCATTGGCTCATATTTAGGATCATTATTAAGTGAATAATCACTAACTTATTAAGGAATTGTTCACAAGTATTCCACATATTATATTTTATTACATACACATAATTGTCTACTTCATAAAAATATACAATTCAAATCGCCAAGAAAGCAACTTTGAAACCACAAAATTTGTTTGACTTTTCAATATTTACATCCAGTTCTCTCCACAGCCTCATACATCACATTTTTATTATGACTAGAGGAAAAATAATAACAAAAGTAACTGTGAATCAGTTATACTATAATAAACAAAGTAATACTATAATAAACAAATACCAATAAGTTGCAACCATAATTTCATACTATATTCTAGCAATGATGTTTCTCTAATTCTATCACTACAAATTTTCACTATTTATGCAACATTAATTTTATGATTTATTTATGCAAAGAGAAGAGCTCGCAGTCAAATTTACAAATGCAATTTGCAATAAGAAACGAAATTAGGGAAAATAAAGGTATAAAATAATACTATGATCTTCTGCACAATTCTAGACCATTTAACACAAACCATTGAAGGTATCTTAGATTATTGTATACACTTTTTGCAGGGAACCGCTAAATAAAAATTAACTTTCCTTAATGAGGTATAAATATATGTGAAAGAAAGAAACCTTTTGAATGTTTGCCATTGGAAAGAAAATAAAAAAGTTATATACTTTCATTTAAATATATTAATTTCAAAGATGTCCTTTTTTGTGATGCAGCAAAAACTAAAAAACAAGACATGATGTAAGGAGACAGGGGATAATAGATAATCCTAGATTGCTGAGATTAGTTAATGAAAGATTTTATGTACAACCGACATGTGTATTCAGTTAAAATTCATGGTTTTGCAAAAACTCAAAAGGTTTTTGGTCCCGAAGCCAAAGTGTTGTTTCTTTCCATTGCAGAGATTCAACACATACAATTTAAAAAGTACAAAACTTCTGAATAATAGGTTGGATATGGGGAGAGGCAGGGATATAGCTGGTTTTTGGAGACCCTTGTGGAGAAGGTACAATTGGGGTCCTGACAAAGTAACATCTTGAGTTCTAAATCTCATTTATATTCTCACATATGTAATATCCAGCAAAAACATTTCCCTCCATTTTCTGCCATCAAAATTCCCATATTTGGGACCCTATCCTGAAAAGGAGTTTGTACGATGTAGAACATTTTATAGTACTGTATCATGTGGATAACAAAAAAGACAAGTTGTTCTTGTATCTGTTTGGTTCTCTTGCCAGTTTTATGTCATATAGTTTACCAATGAAAATTTTGCTAATTTATTTTCCAAATAAGGCCCCTAGTCAGGTTGTAGATGTCGGTCAAGCTGCTCAGCTGACCAACAAGTGCAATCCCTCCTCATTCAACAACTGATTCGGCAGTTCTACATTCTTTGTTTTTAGAAATAGTTCTCAGACATGCAATTGCAATAATAAGGAATAATCTTAATAAAATAACTGGTTAAATTAGGATTAATATGTAACTTTGTGATGGAATATTTGCTCCATGTAACCCTTTCAAAACTTTTACAACAGGAACCCTTTATTAAGGATTGGAGAGTGACCTTCTTAAAGGCCCCTGATGTCAGGAGTGTCAGTGTAGTGCATCAGTAGCACCAGTCTAAGCTATGCCCCTGGGGATAAGAGGAGATGACAGAAGAGGCAAGGAGAGAGAGTAGGAGTAATGAGAAGGAGGCAGGAGGGAGACAAAGAGAGGATACCATTATACTGCATTCCTCGTGTTTTGTGAATAAAAAAATTCTTGAGTCCCAAACCAACAGGGATTCATGATAACTGATACTTGAAATTATGAAAAATTTACAAACTTTTTCATCTTTTTCACTACACATTGCTCTGCTCTTTCTTACTTTTAACTTGTCTTTAATTATTTCCCTGTACCTGAGGAAGTTTAATTAAATTAATTTTTTTCCTCAATCTTTAAATCTCAGTAAACAATTATTAATTACTGCCAAAACATTAGAAACACAAATTCGAAAAAGGAGATGACAGAGCAGATATTTAGAATATACAGATGATTATCATATCATGTCTTTGTAATACATGTGGAAGCACTCCCTCTACAATAACAAGGGAAGCCATAATAAGTAGTATAAGCTATTTAAAAAAAAAATGATAATTCCAGATCTAATTATTTAAGCATTCTACATTTACACTTTTTGCTTACTTTGCTATGATTCTTCACCATGAAGTGTTCATGTCACATCTATTCTAAAAGTGAAAGATCACAAAACAGTTCAATAACACTAACTTCAACAATTGCAATAACACCAACAACAAAATACATACAATAATACACATATATCAAGTAAACATTTTAAACTTGAATCTCATCCAGAAATGGGATCAGGCATGTGCATCAGTATTGAAAGAACTGGAAATTACTGTTGTCTGTTTTTGTTTAGAGAGCTGAGACAGGCATGAGATTGTTAGAAATCTGTCCTCGTTCTAAAGCATGGATAAATTGATTGACCTCACCAGTTGTTTTTTTTATTTTTGAATACACAAATGTAAATAAAGATTAAAATGTGTTTATGCAAATCATTAATGTATAAATTGTTGTAATTTTGGACCAACTTTAAAAACTTCCTGACCATGCACAAAGTATAGAATTCCCTTGTAGACAAGGGTATTTAACTATCTTTACTTTAATACTTATTTCTTGAAACACAATCTATATCTAATTTTCCAATATTCAACACTAAATACAAAAATAGATTTGCCCATTTCTGGTTACAAATATCTGATAACTGAACAGTCAACATGAAGCTACATGAAAATCATTCTAAGATAAGTAATAATCATTTTTAAAAACGCATTTTGCCTATTTCAACCCCACTTCTTTGGTTCACAACTGCTTGGATTCTTGAGATAGCTGCAGTAAACTAAGTTGCACTCTAAGGTGGAGGCAGGCTTCTCTTGCTTCTACAATTCTTCGAACCAAATTTGCTTTGTTTTGCTTAAGTAGAAAGGAAAACAATAAACATTAAAAACCATCACAGTGCACCAGGATATAAATACTTCCAATAACAAAGTAAAGCAATTTTACACACAATCATTAACACTAGTGGCACTAAGCTAGTGATATCAGTCCAAGAATTGCTCAAATTCTAACTATGTATCACTAACATTTTCGAACAGTGAAGTCCTGGCAATTAATTGACTATCTATACACTAAACCAACTGCAACCCCTCGTAAGTTAAAACTTGATATAAGTGGACTTCCAGGGACAGAACTACTTTTACATTCAAACAGACTTAGTCAGACGATGAAATTAATAATTTTTATATTTATTTGGGTGTAACTGTTGGGTTTTTAGTAAAAATACCTATAATTATAGTTCACTTATGATTACCTACGGCTCATGTTAGTGCTTCTATTTCTGGTTCTATGGTATTGGCAGGTGTTATTAAAACTGGGTGGTTATAGGTTAATGTGTGTTTTTAGAATTATAGTACTGTGTTGTTTGAAATGTAATTTTATTTGGATTGGTATTAATCTAATAGAAGACTCTTTAATGAGTTTGGTTTGTTTATGTCAGGTCGATTTGAAATCATTAACTGCTTATACATCTGTTGTTCATTTGGGAATTGTTTTGAGTTGTTTAATAACTTAAAATTCGCGAGGGTTTTGTGGTTGTTATTTAATGTTTGTACATGGGTTACGTTCTTCTGGGTTATTTTGTTTATCTAATATTGTTTATGAACGATTGGGAAGTCATAGATTAATTATTAATAGGGAGGTTGATATGTTTAATGCCTAGATTAACATTATGATGATTTTTATTTAGATCTAATAAGGCAGCATCTCCTTCCTTGAATTTATTGGCAGAAATTAGCTTGATTAATAGAGTAATATTATGGAATTTAATGAATATTTTTAATTGCTTTGATATCTTTTTTTGGGGCTACTTATAGATTATATTTATTTTCTTAGTCAACATGAAATGAGTTCTTCTGGTTCATATAGTTATATAAATGGTTATTTTTGTGAATATTTATTATTATTATTTTTGCTTTGATACCCTTTAAATATAATTTTACACAGATATTTTTTTTGGTATTTAGCCATATTAGTTTAATAAGAATGTTGATTTGTGGAATCAAAGATGTATAATAAATAACATATTGGGTTATTAATTATAATGATTTTGTTTGAAAATTATCTTCACATAAAACATGTAGTTTTATTTTTTATATCAGTAGTGATATTTTTTGGGGGGGATGGTTATATGTATATATGTTATAATATGTTAATGAATATGTATTTTTTTTTGACTGAAATATTGTATCTATTAATTCTTGTAATGTTGTTATAAGAATTCTTTTGGATTATAAGTCATTATTTATAAGATTTGTTATATACATTTCTTTTTTAATAATTTGTTACAGAGAGAGTTATATAATAGGTGATGATAATTTATCTCGTTTTATTATTTTAGTATTAATGTTTGTGTTATCTATAATATTTTTAAATATTCGTCCTAATTTAATTAGAATTTTATTTAGATAGGATGATTTAGGATTAGTATCTTATTATTTAGTAATTTATTATCAGAATGTTAAATCTTATAATGCTGGTATGATGAAGGCCTTATCTAGCCGTTTTGGTGATGTGGCTTTGTTGTTGTTGATTGCTAGAATGATAAGATATGGTAGATGGAATTATTTGTAATTATGATGGGTATAATTAAAGCAATTTCTACATCAAAAATTAAGAAAATTACTGTAATTAAAAAAAACAAGCAAAGAAGGGTAGGCAGGCTGATCTTTTTGGATCGAAACTGCATTCAAATGGTGAAGTTTTTTCTCTGCTGCTTATTTTTTTTGATAAAATTTGATAGGTTGAATGGAATAGGTTTTTATACGATAAAATAATTGATAATGATATTAGAATAATTTATTAAATTGTAGTAAATATAATGATGATGGAAGTAATTAAAATTACTTATTTTGATAAAACATCCTTCTGAATGGAAGTCAAATATACTACAAATATATTTCATAAGTTGTCTACCCCATCAGTAAATTGAAATATGTAAGAATAATCAAAAATTATCCTCAATATGTCAATATCGTGCTGCTGCTTCAAATTCTATATGATGATTGGATGAGAAATGAAATATGTATCGTATTAAGCATACTGAAAGGAATATTATACCAATAATAACATGGAGTCCACGGAATCCTGTAGCAACGAAAAAAGATGATTCATAAATGGAGTCTGCAATGGTAAATGGAGCTTTAATATATTCAAACACTTGAAGAATAGAAAAATAAATTCCTAAAATAATTATTAATAGTAGTCCTCATGTAGTTCGTCTTTAATTATTTTCTATTAAGCTATGATGGGTCCATGTAACTATGATACTTCATGCGATTAAAATAGCTGTATTTAGAAGGGGAATTTGAATTCGATTAAATAGTTTAATTCCTATTGGTGGTCAAGTTATTCCTAAGTCAATTGTGAGAGCCAAACTTCTGTGAAAAAATGCTTAGAAAAATGAAATGAAGAAAAATACTTCTGATGCAATAAATAAAATTATTCCTCAATGTAAATCGCAATTATCAATGGATGTACGTACATCTTGATATGTTTCTACAAATACAACAAATTTTTAGTTGCGATTGAAAAAATCAATCCTATCTGCATAGTAATTAGCGGTTCTAGGTAATCTAATGAAGAAGATATAGTAGCTGTAATTAGTAGATGATGTTCCCTCCCAGAAGCAGGTAGGATTTCTCGTTCTAATCTGAGGAATGTGAAGAAAGATAAGAGAAAGAAGTTCAGGACAATCGATGAGAGCATGTGGTATTTTATGAAAGAAAATTAAACAATAGCATTTTCTCCTATCCTGAAGACTTTCCAATTTCAATAAATTGTAGAATTTGGAAAGGTTAGGATCGAATCTATGAATTTGGTGCCCCGAATCTGAAAGCTAGGCGGTGTGAAAATTTATATTGCATTTTTTCCAAATGATTGATATATAAATTAGTGTAAGATAACCAAATGACAGAGGTGTATTCTAAAATAGGACGAAACAAAGTTTTATAAAGATAGTATTATTATAGTATAGATATAGTATTATTCTCTAATACATCAAAAGCAGAATTAATGTGTGTGCATTGCCTAATGAAACAGGAAGAGTTTATACAGGCACAGAGCAATTGTATTTCTTAAACATTTCTCACAGCAACTTGACTCAGATTACAGTATTTTATGGAAAGTACAGACATAATTTGTAAGTCTGACATCAATTATCTCTGTGATTATTCAATACTACCTCAATTATATTCCTTCAATAAACTGACAATATTTGGAGGCAAACTTTCAGAAGCTGATAATTTTTTTTACTTCTAATTGATTTTCTGTAATTACAGTACCATAACGAGTGTATATTTTAAATGACATGTTAAACAAACCTGCAAAATAAGATTTTCCTTCTGCAATTCTGCAATTCGAGCGGCCACTTCAGGATCATCTCCATCACTACCTTCAGAATGGGAGGGTGAACTGCTCCCTTCTGAACTATCATCTTCTCCACTACAAGGTAGAAATCAAAGTTGTGAACATTTAATAACCATATAATTAAACATAAATGGCAGAAGAAATAAAAGAACTACCCACTAAAGATGAAACTTTAAAAATAAATCATACTTATTCATTTATCAAATAACTAAAGGTTGAGAAGACAACATCTATTTGCAATGTGAAACTTAAACATTTTAAATGAATCAGTTCCTATCACGGCACCTAGAGAAAACAAAGCCTGGGGTAGCTTAACCCCTTATTTCAAACAAGTTCACCTCCTCCCCCAAGTCACGAATAAAATTCATTTTGCTCTGCAATAGAAATGTCTTATAGCAGTTAATTTCATTTTAAGGTAAAAATACTTTTTTTTGGTAAAAACAATTCGGGGCTCCTTTTCTGGGCACCCCTAGTCCCAATTACACCACATCTCTTTTATCAGTAGAGTACACACATAATAGTAGTCAGAGATGCACAAGATAAATTAATTTGAAAGGTTATATTTACAGAATCTCAAACATTTTGAAACTTATAGAGATGTAAAATTATTTAGATTGATTCTGACATCAATATTCTAAAATTTCTAAATTATTGTCATTGAATATAGCTACTCTAATTTAAACTAACGTTTACTGTGATCACAACTTGTTTTATGTTAACATTATTTTGAAATACATTTCACTTTCACACAGTTTTGAGACCTTATGGGTTGTGACTCATGAAATACTATTTGCTGCTTATGCACTCCTATAAACTTTCCATCTATTCCTTACAAATAGTCTTTCAAACATTTAAGTTTGATTTGTAAAGGCATTCATATGTGAAGTTAAACTGCAGTGATGACTAGTGTAAAAAGTTTGCCTAAACGTAAAGACTTGTCAATTACCAAGAAAGTATTGATTATTATTATTGAACGTTATGACAGTTTGCCTAAAACATGTAAACACTTCAAAGATCAAGAACTTGCATAAGATAAATCATGTTAGGAAAGATTTTAACGCTGTATCTGCTCAAGTATATGGTTCACTAATGTTTATGAAGAGAATTTTCTTATTGATAGCCTCCTGATGCACAAAAAAGTAGAGGAGCTTGCTAAGAAAATTGGGAAAGAAAGAATTCATAGAAAAAGGATGGTTTCATCTTTGGGAAAAAGGGAATATGTTGTCTACAAATGAATGCACAGTGAAAAGAATGATGCTGATCCAATCACTACCAAGTGATGGTTGGAAGAGAAGTGGCCAATAATTATTTCTTTTCTCCCAACTGTGGGTACAATCCAGATGAAAAGACTGTATTACCTTGCCCTACTTCTCAACATGTTCTGGTTTAAGAACAAAAATTCTAAGGCTGTAGAACAAGTATGGAACATTTAAATGTTTTATCCTGTACAAATCTCTCTGGCAAAAAGAACGATTGTTGGGGATTGGCAAATATAAGAACCCACAATGCTTTGAAGATGTTATAAGTTTGCCAGTTGATCACAATGTAAACTACAATGGAATAGATGCAGTTCTATATTTTGAGAATGGGTATTGAAGTGGGATAATATGATGTTTCAAAAAGGAGTTTTCTTGGTTTACAACTGTGCACACACTATGAATTGTGAATTAAAGAAAGCTGTTTTCCCACCGCCTAATACGATTATGACATTACAGCCATATGACCAGGAATCATTTGAACTTCATAAGCATATTATCACCTTGAAAAGCATGCACAAATTCTTCAGAACATGGAACACACACAAGGAAAGAAACTTCCACTTCTGGAAACGATAGAAAACGAATTTCGGGAATGTGGATGAAAACATCACTACATCTGCTAGACAGACAGATGATGTCATACGTAAAATAGACTTTACAGATTTGCAAGAGCCTGCAGGTGTGTGTGAAGAAGAAAATTATGAGAATGCTGTGGAAATGTCTCAACCACTAACAGTGGCTGAAATAAGGCAGGCATCACAAATAATGTGACATGGTGTTCAACACAGTTCAGTTGATTTCTAGTAACGAGTTTGAGAGTTTACAATAATGGAATCCTCAGAGAAAACCAAACGAAGACCTTAATGAAGGCCTCTATAAGATTATCGAAATTGTACCTAGCATGTACTGCTCAGAAGTTTGGCAAAATGTCCTCTTTTTATTGTTACAATTATGAGCCTTTAAACAACAGGAATTGCTTAATTGTGCTTCTGGAGATGTTTTAGAAGATTTTCATTTTGCATTTTGCCTTATTTTAAACTTTTTCTTCTTTTCTCTATTTATTTTCTTTCTTTCTCCAGTCACTGATCCTGATCAAGCAGGAAATTATCCTTCCAAGCAAGATAAAGTATCCTTCCATGAAAGTGTTTCTTTTATTTTCAGTGTTATAATAAAAATTTGAATAATTCTAATTACAATTATTTTTTTGCTACAAATCCTATTTACCACCTTATGGCTCAGAGTGAAAGTCGCTCGTCTTTCACCAAGGAGACCCGAAGAAAGTATTTCTTCTTTATACTGGAGCCAGAAAAATCCACTTTATCATTATCAGGTTCTCACAAAACAAGTTTTACTATCACATAAATGCTACTTTTCACTGCAGCATTACATTCCTTTCTCTATATTATGTAGTAATACAAAATAAAGTAACAATTACCATATAAGAGGAACAAAACAGAGGGTGACTGAGAAAGAGTAAAGTAGCAACTATGTTATGACTGGCCCAAAGGAACCAATTATTGGGTTCATCCCTTACTGGTTTTGATGATTATGTTTTAGTGTGTTAATGGTTTGATAAAAAATTATCAATTGCTGTTGCAAATACTCTCAAATTTTGCATGACCCCTTTTGAGCAGCTAAGAACAGGGGGCAGGGGGCAAGAAGCAACATTGTAGCTAGGCATGGCAGCCCAGGGTTAAGCAGGGTAAATAAATGACCAGACAACACCAGGTTACACCAGCAAGTTATAAATATTGTGATCCAGAAACTAAATCTGAAGATCATTCAGGGAATAGGTGGAGAATTTGATACACACCAGATAATTGAACTTGCCATGTATCCTTGCTGCATAGGTTGAAATTTTCAGGCAAGACATTTGAATGTAATTAAGTAGGCAATTATAAGTAATGTTGGTAATTGAATATAGTTCAGTAAAATTTAAGCATCACATGATTGCTTATTATAAAGTTTTTCATTTAAACTAGGTAGTAGAAAACATTACAGGCCAAAACAGTTGGGGTATCAGACACACACAGCATGTTCAGGCATTACATTTAGCAATGCAAGCATTCCCAGATTAAGCAAGACATTGCAGTAAGTAAATGACATTGACATTAGTTGAATATAAATTTAAGTGTCCAAGGTGCACAAGACAGTAAGCATATATTTTTTCAATTTTAAGTATGGCGATTTAACGTACTTACTGACTGAACTATATTTCAAGGCAATTTTTTCAGCTAGTTTATAAACTCATGGCAAAATATTTCTTACATACAGCAATACATTTAAAAACTTAAGTTTTCTTAATACCTGAAACTGTATTTTGTACGTGCGGCAGCTAATTCTTGTCTAAGTCTTTCAATTTCTGCTCTTTCTCCTTGCAAACGACCCTGCAAATCTGCCTGAAGACTTAAGAGTTCTCGATGTTCTAGTTGAAGAACAGTCTCTTCTTGCAATAAACCTTGTAATTCTTCTTCAGTCTCAGCAACTGATTGAACTGCAAATATATCCACAATATTAAGGTAATTTCATTTACATTAGTGATTTGCAGTAGCAAAATTGCTGCTGATCAAAACCCACCGTTTTTCAAAAAAGTAACATGCACACTACTAAACAACAAATAAAATACTCTAGCATTACACTGCAATAAATTAAATACTTTAACAAAAACAGTCTTTGCAAATACTGCAATAACATAGTAGAGCATATTTTTATAGTTCAAAAGATCTTTATTAAGTTAAAAAAAAAGTTAGCGATTCGTAATGCAACACATAATTAGCAAATATTTAATGGTCTCTCCTTAGGAGCCTTGCTATCACATGACATCAGGTATGTCATAAGCACGATGTCCTAAGTATGAGAATGCACAGTAAGTGAGGTAGAGTAACTCAAAAAAATATTGGCATTTTTAGTTAAATGTGGAACTATTTCTTTGTTTTGGGATTTTTATCTAGTTCCTAGGCATCTAATGAAACCATAGACACCTCTTGCATGGTCAGGGCTGCAAAGTTTTCTTCCAATTTCTGCACACATTGGAAATTAGTTCAATAAATTGATTCACCTTGACGCACAAGCCCTCTAGCGAAGTTTTGTGAAATAAACATCACAACGCTTCAGTTAAATTAGATAAGTTAATAATCACAGATGGAATTACTGGTGCTACTGAATGACACAGACTTTCTCATACTATTTAGTTTCCTATTCTCTAGAGTCGGGACTACCTTTTCTTTTCTCTTTGCAACTGCTATCTAAAAGATACCAATCCCTCTAGTATCTATCACTTCTGTGGGGACATTCCCAATAAGTGCACCTTCATGCACCCTGAAAATCACATAGATGTAACTTGGTCCTGTACCTTCTTACAATACCTGTTGGTCCTTTGGTACAATACCTACTGGCACTAGTACCATTAGGTGTAGGGATCTCTTTTCTCAATTACACACAAAGTGAACACAATAGCCTGTTAGGTCAAGGGCTTATGGAATGAATAGGGTGTAGGTGTCAGAACAGGAGAGTTCTGGAATGCCCCACCATGAACACAAATTGCCAGTCATGTCTTATGCAATTTTCGAACCCACAGCCTTATGTACCGATGTATTTAGACTCATCTACCTCAAACTCCTATTTCACAAAGCCGAATTGCATGACTGCACCATTTGTATATGTGTTAGTTTTATAATAATAGATAAGATTAATAATACAAATGTATATGCATTTTACACATACATTACCATACATACTCTGCAACACTGAATCTGCTATTTTAATTTTTATTAAAAAACTTAAGAGCTATTTTTGAGAAAATTGGCGTTTTTAGTCACAATTTTACGTGATTCTAAAAATGTCCAATTTTGAGCTCATTTTCACAGCAAAACAAATTTCACAAGAAATCATTTCAAGCATTTGTACTCACAAATACAATCATGTATAAGAAATATCTGCCATATAAATCTTAATGATATGAAAGGTATTTCAAAAAATTACATTTATGTAATTTTTAAAATATCAAAAGAATATAAAATATTAAAAAAGTAACTGTAGAGAACAAATTTAATTTGAAGAAAAAATTTCCCATTTTCAAATGATTCTACCATTGGCCAACTAGTTTGCTGCTACTTTTATAGCACGACTCATATTCATATTAAACCTGGCTAACTAATATTACAGCTTTCTACCAGAGATAAATGAGAGTTCAAAACAAACCTACAATTTCCTCCTACCCTCCCCCCCCCCCCCCCCCCCCCCCCCCCCCCCCCCCCCCCCCCCCCCCCCCCCCCCCCCCGCGCCCAATATTTCAAGAGGTGGACATCTAGATTTGCTTGCCTGATACAACCAGAAGCAAGTCAATGGTAGAGATCATCACTGAGTTACAAGTGAATGTTTGAAGAACAACTTAGTCATGGAGGTAAAATAAGACTTTAATTGGACTTAAGACTTTAAAATGGACTTTGGCACCATATGCTCTAGGATCAATAAGAAATATAAAACTATTCTACAATTTTCCAAAGATATTCCTAGTGCACCACCTACAAAATCATAACAAGGACTCATTTGCACTAGATGATTTCAACTAAGGTTACGACTGTTAAATGAGAACATACTTTATAACAGTTGCAAACACTGAATGAAAAAGTTGGCAAAAAGAAGCACTGGTTTATCTAGCAGGTAAATATTTTGTGACATGTGAAGCGTAAAGCAACAAATTTCAAGAGTACAAAAATCAAAGTTCCGCTCTTTATTTCACAATATATTCATTTATAAAAATAATTCTTTTGCAAAATAGACTTTCATTCACTCTTAATATAAAGGAATTATTGAAATATATCTACCTATCGTATTCTCAGTCTTGACACTTGCATCTACATAATTATGCTGCTCTTCAATTTCAGTACTATCTACTACATCTTCTGTTACTTGAGATGAATTTGCTTCAACATTATCCATTGATTCTGAGGGTATTTCTATCGACAGCTGAGTTTCAGCTACTATTCTGTCAGTATCATTCGGAGGCATAATTTGTCTGGATTCAACCTGTAACATTTAACTATTACAAAAAATCAGATAAGTAACCCCAAAATTACTATGATAGAACATACCACTGATGTGATTGTTTCATCTTCCGAACCCAAGCGAGCTTTTTGCAATGTGGTGTCAATATGAAATTCATCATCATACATTTTATTACTACAGCGATCTTCATCCAGACTTCTTTGATTTTGCACAGCTTCTTGTGCTCTCTGTACTGTTCTTAATTTTCTCTGGAACAAAAAAGAAAAGAGGTAAAAACATTCCCTAAGATTCCCATTTAAGCAGTATTTACTGATAAACTAAGATCAAATATGATTGATGAATGCCTAAAATGACATTTCTGAGTCTAGAAACAAAAATTGGGCGGCATAATTTACTTGAAAACAGTACACAGATGAGGAGCTTGGTTTCTAGAACAAAAATAAAAGGAAGCAAAGATACAAAGTAGCCCTGAAGAGAAATCCATGAAGAAAAGAATAATGAGGTGAGAAGATTGAACATAATTTCAATCAAGAAGTAGAAAAATTCTCAAGAAACTGGCAAGAATACTTAGATCTCAGTGGGTTAAAGCATCTCTGATGAATTATTTTAATTACAAAATTAGTCGTAACTGTAGCTCAGAACTCTAAATATAGTTGGATTTTCAAAAAGATACCAAAAGTACACAAGGCTCTAAAAGGTGGAGATATTAACAACGTGATTATGGAGAGTTTGAGATTTCAATACTTCCAAAAACAGCTCCCCAGATAGTTTTTAAAAAAAAACATGGTAATTTATTTAACTATTAGTTACTTATTGGGCAGGCAACCTAAAAAGCTGAGATTGCTAAGGCAGCTGCACCTTGGCTTAACAGGTTGCAGCTTTCTATCCTGCCAAGGGCATGAAGGTTTGCTTGTGTGCTGTAGTATGGCGGAGCTCCCCTAATCACCATGTATTGCCTTTCAACCATCTTCCTACCATTCTTGGCTGAATTAGATGGTGCAGGAGCTTAGGGCTTTGTGCTCAGTGTCAGTGATGTGGATTTTGAGTACCACCTAAGGCATGGGTGTTATGTACTGTGGCTTGGTGTGCATTCCTAGAACATCATGTACCATCCTAAACCTATCTTTAATTCCTTCTTCTACCAAAGTAAGTTGAGTGAGCGAGGGAGGTGCACAAAGTAATGATCTACAGACTGAAGTATCAGCACCATCTAGATATAACATGTCTCTCTTGTCCTAATTCAGGATGATAATTTGCCTGAACAATAATATGTCCAATATTGGCTTATGAGAAGAGTGAAGACGAAGACATAGTAGGAAATGGCAAAATATGTTCATAAATACGTAAAGAAAATGATAAGAATGTGAAACAAATACGTTAAAAGAGATATGATACGTAATATCAAAACACATACTAATCTATAGAACATTCACAATCAAAATAAATTTACACAATTAGAAATTATTTTAATAAAATATTGCTTATACCAATTTTCAAAATAAATAATGCTTTGCCAATGAATTACATTTTTTTAAGGAGTCAATTTGAATTTTGGAGAGCAAAGATAGTCATTGTACAAACTTGAAAACTCAATGATCTGCAAACAGTCACTGTAGCGTTATCTTCGTAGTGCTACACGTCTGCATCAACTAATATCTCTCAGAAATTAGATAGTAGATCACGAAACACAATGTCATTGATACTGTTTCTGGCTAAAGAGAATATTCTCGGCGTTCACATACACTTGTTGTAGCATATACACAGTGCAGATGGAGGTTAACCCAAAGGGATGACATGCACCTCATGTCATCAGCACACAATTCTAAATGTACTTAAGAAAAAATATATAGAATCTTTTGAAAATTCCTTTAATACTTTTTTTGCAAAGTAAATTTCAAGAAAATTGGTAGAATAATAAAATGTTTTGTAAAATATGTAATAGTATAATAAAAATATGTAATGAAACATTTGGATATTCCGTTACGATTGCCTTGATTTCCCAAACTCACAATTTTGAACCTAGAAATGCCAAAAACATGTAATTATATAGGAATCCAAACTCCACTCAGAAGTCACATACGGAAACTGGTCAGTATTGTGGAGGCTACACCTCAAGTATTAAGTCTCAGCCAGAGAGAGGGACCTTGGTAGGAAGCAAAAGTGTAAAATAGGAACATACTTATATTTGCTGAAAATAAAATATGAATATATTCATCAAAATATGAACATCTATTTGGATCTTCTTCAACTCTTCCTCCTTCCAGCTGAGACTGGCTAACCTCCAGACATAAACACCAATGCACTAACCGTAATTCCTCCAACCTAAGCGATCCATGTGCTATTATTTTCAAATAACTCCTACAGGAGTAGCCCATGGGCCCCTATGTTTCAGTCAGAATTTAGCCACAGGAGGGATCATGACTAGCACTCCACTGTGTCCCACAGGATACTTTGTGGGTGCTTTTTGGGAGTGGGGTAGCTCCTCAACACTCAGGAAAAAAAACATGCATATACAGAACTCAAATCCGTGACCTGTCAACTGAGCAACCCATTGCCCTTGAAATTTATTTTAATGCGATTGTGTTTATTTGGTTTAAAATTTTACGTCAGTATCAATAATGCCAACGTCATAATATTCTAACTTTACAGAAGAGGTGCAGACAACTCCATTTTTCATTACAGAAAAGGTGAGGTCAAACCTTTCCTGATATTGCCCAATGCAATGATCTGGCAATTCTGAGTAATCTAGTCTTGAAAGTAATGTTAGTACACTGTGGACCGTGGTTGAGAATTCTCATCATCCCACGTCCAAAAGGGGAGGTACGGACGGAGATTCTCTGCTAGGTGCGCTCTCCCTTATGAAGCATCTGTTATTATTTTGCAGAAGTACAGCTAGTTTCCGAGTGATACTAGCCCTTTTGGAACCTTCGATGGCCCCCTATAATCCATTTGGAAAGTATATTTTAAAATTTGTCCATGTTTCCAAAGAGGCATAGGATGTTGATTGCAACTATCCAAGAAAATGTCAGAACATTGAGGTAGTTCCTAGGTTGCAATGTTTTAATAATCTCTCCAATTCGAATTATTTCAAGGGTACACTTTTTTATCTCAAAAAATTCATTCTGATTTTGAATCTGTATGAGAAATATTTCTTAAGTTTCAATTAGAGTACAAAATAACCAAGAAGTCAGAGCTCTCATTATAGTTAGAGAGAAAATATTTGATTCAACTACCCTTTTTTTTCTCACTTGGTGCACCTGGTGACTTTTGGGTTTACTCTCAAGCACCCTTCTTAGGCTGCATAAAAAGTGATTCCCGGTTGTCAAAATACAGAAACAACCCAACTCATCCGTGAGTGAAGAAAATCTGATACCAATATCCTTGTGTACTATTTGTTGAAAGTTTTAAGACCTGCTGTATTAATGAAGAGCTCATTTATGACAATGATTCATTTGTTTAGAGTGGGAACAATACGTAATAATTTAATGTATTGTTTTAAGCTTTTCACCATCATGATAATACTTGTGTTGATCCACTGTTGGCATCAAAGGCGGCATCTCAATTTAGAGATCTTTTTCTTTTTGAAAATTTTATTTGTGATGGTTTCAAAAAAAAGAAGTTAATTTTAATATCAAAAAGCTTGACATTACATTCGAAAAAAGTAAAAGTGTAAGACTGTTTGGTGAAGATAAATTAACTATTTTAGAATTTTTCACTACAACAGTTCTAGCCTTTAAGAAACAAAAATCCATCTCCCTAGACATTTCCTGTAACACTGTAACAGTCTTAAAATTAACTGGCACTTACAATTAAGTCAAATACAGTAATTTATTTTGGCATTAACTTATGTATTTAGGGTAAATATTCAGTCATTTCTCCCTCATATCTACATACTGATGATGAATAGCATTATAAAAGATACAGCAGGTCATTTTGCTGCCTCTTGAAATAACAAATACTTACTTTGAGTTGAGTAATGAGTCTTTGCACTTCCCACAACTGTTCTTCTCTACGTTTTGAAACATAACCTGCATTCATCTCTTGATGAATTTGACTTAAAAGTGATTCTTGTTTCCTCAATTCATCTGTTATACCAAAAACGGTATCAGGCAGAGAAGGACTACCAGCACTTAAAGGTGGAATGTATCTGCAAAAACAAGATGATTATATTCGAACTGACATGATTGTTAAAACACTGACCTAACTATTCTTGAGATTCAATGCCATCTGATAGCTCTGCTAGATTAAAGGTGTATTTAAATAGAAAAAAATCTATATTCAATCATTTATGGTTGCTTGCATTCACTTCTAAATTAAATCAGCAAGAACATTTATTTATATTACATTACTATGAATGATAACACAAAACAGCATATTGAAGATGCTGGTAGTGAATAAATATTTGATGTTGCAATGGAAACTTTTTATTTACTTCCTGGTCAACATCTTAATTTCAATAGACTATATATAACATCCAGAAATTATTTTTTCCCAGCCGTTTAAATTCCTTTCGGCAATCTTCCATAACAAAATAACCTGTCAATCTGACATCTCACCTGGTCAATTTCACTTCAGGAAAGAGGGATTTACAGTGACACAAAATGGCAGTAATCAATCTGTGACTCATTTGTAGAACAGGACTGAGAATGATAGCTAAATTTTGTGCATTCATTTTATTGTATTTTTCCTGAAACACACAATACATGAATTTTGAATTGGCCCATTAACAGATAGCAATGCATGAGATCTAACCTTATTAACTAATTTATGAAAGGATTATTTCTTTTAACTGTAGTGTGTTGTGTCTTTTAGAATATTCTAATTCACTGTAAAAAGATGTGTATTTTGAAACTTTCAAGTCTTATCTTATCGTGTACAATTGGGTCAATAATTTTACTGCCACTAATTCATGGAAGTAACGTGCAGTTTCTGCATACGAGGGAAAACTGAAAAGTATAGACACTATTTTAATCTTGAAATGAATTCATCAATGTAATAGATAATCATTTTTTTTATTACAGAACAAATTACACAGATTTAATGGAGTGAACGACAAAACAATGAAGAAAACATTGATCCCTAAATCATCCTTTGATGAGTGATGGTCACCTCCCAAATGAGATTTGATATACTCACATGATCAGTAATGCAATCAAGATGTACCATCAACCAAGCAAGTATATGTCTATTGCAAGTAGGTAATTGGTCTACAAGCATTTTCAGTTCTGTTTCTCTAGCACCGACTTCTTTTATGGCTGCAGCTTCCTCAAATCGAGCAATTAAATCATTGGTAAGAACAGGCTCTGGCAACTCCCTTCAACAAAAGAAAAGATAATTTGCCTCAAAACCCATTCTATAACAATTTACAATGTTTATTTTTATGTTGTTCCAAACTTCTTTGGGCTTGATGTTTTAGAGACCTGTCATGACACTGACAGTGGTTTTCTAGTGATATGCAATAGCAGCAGCTTTTCCAGTTTCTATTCTCGTCTCCTACTAATGCAGAATGAATAAACGAAGGGAACAGAGCATCGAACTAGCTGAACATTACTGCCATGTATTTATGATGCACAACATCAAAATTTTACATTATTAAAAGTTTACAATTTTACATTATTAAAAGTTTACATGATAGTTTTCGGACTGAAATCTAGTATTAGCTTGAGATTGCTTATGAAAGATCATGCAACACGCGAGTAAAAAGGGCAGTAAGGCAATGGCGAGGCAATGCTGCCTCTGTTGTCTAGGCTATCTGGTACGAGCCACGTCAATGTCACCATGACATTGATGCGGCTTGTCCCAGATTGCCTAGACAACATAAACTCCGGCCGCAGAAGTCTACGCAACCAATGCTGCCTCTATCAAGGTCCAATTGTCAAGCACAAAGTAGAATGGTGCCACACATTCATTATTTGATCCCAAAAACATTTTCTCCATCAGCAAACTCCTGTAATTAAGTCACTTATTTACTCTAAATATAAAACTCTCCAACATTATCTCTTTCTGAAAACATTTTTTCACCACGAGTTCTCTATAATTAATTAAATTCTTAACTTCTTCTAACTGAACAAAAAATAGTCTTTCTGTAATTGGTCAAAACTCAATGAGAAATTTTGTAACCAATATAAAGAAGGATCTCACTAATATGCCCCTACATAAAGATTGATAATCTCAGATTACTAAAAACTGAAATGGTGGAGGTAAGCTTAAAAAAGTGAAACTGTGAAAAGATTTGTTTACCTAAAAACACTTGTAAGGCACATAGCTTGATTTTAAAGACTACTGTGTTTAGAATATTTAAGAAGGTTTTCAGTAAGAACATATCTCTGTTCAGTAAGAATACTCATATTCAAAATTCTGTCATTTTTTCACGTCAACATTATCATTTTTTGAGAATGGACAGGGTGTAAAGGAAAATGTAATTTCACTAGTATCTCTCAAAGTTTTGTTTTGCAAATTTGTTTCTTTTCCATCCTGGATGTGAATTTTTATTTTGCTCATATTGATTGTTGCCAAAAAATTGTTTTGGAAAAATCAAATAAGGGAACATAATCTTGGTAAAAATAGAGAGAAAAAAAGGAGGGGATTTGCATTGTATATTTTAGTCTGAATAGTCATGACTGAAAAGTGTTTGGGAATTTGCTTCTCCACATTCTGAAATTTTACACACTTACCGAAAAAATTGCTTCAAAAGACTTGTAACAACAGGAGGCTCAAAATCTGCTAACTGAACAACTTCTCTTTGATTGTAGAGTCGTCTCAAATGTTGCACTTTTGATTTAATGCCTGATAATTTATAAATAGCTTCCATGTTCAAACCTACAACCAAATCATTAGAAGAATGATTATATTTCACCTATCCATTTCATAAATTTCACCCATGACCTTCCAATTAAAAGTAAAATAATACCATTTTCTTGGACATAATCAATGCAATCTCGTATCACAATTGGTATATCAACACCATCATGACAACGACTCCTTTCCACAGCTAAGGCAAGAGGAACTCCAAAAACAGGTAACTCATCTGAAACAAACACCACTGACTTTCTGTTAATACCATTACAATTAAATGCAAAAATTTCCTTATATTATACAAAATAAATAATTTATGGACTTTTTGAGAAGACCAATAGAAATTCTAATAAAGTGTTCGTGATCAATAAACTATACCTGTAACATCAGTGCACTCTTCACCATGTTTGGACTTCTTTCGTTCTTTTAATTTCAATTTCACTTTCCCTTCCTTTTCCTTCTTCTTGTCTTTCTCAATCTCTTTGTCTTTTTCTTTACTGTCCTTTTCTCGTGACTTTTCACGTTTCTCTTTCTTGCTTGGGAATTTAAACGATTTAGATTTTTTTGATTTGGAAGGGCTTCTGAAATAATTTATGAGTTAATATACGTACGACTAAAAAGAGGAGTATTTATTCTGAATAAGTTTGATATCAAATTAATAGATATTTACTTAGAATTTATCTTAAAATATACCTTTACATTTTCTTTTTCCACATCATTCAAGAAGATACTAAATAAAATTATAAGTTAAATTTTGATTTGTGTATAACGAGGTGTGGTTTTAAGTAATTTAGTTCAAGACATGATAAAAACTGAATCAAACTTCGAAATAAAACAGGACTAGTGTATTACGTTTTGTCAAATTTTGGTTGGATACTACAACATAACAATTCTCAACAAATTAAAAATACAGAATCATTCACTCATTTCTTCAGAGATGGACTTAAAATACAAATAAAAAATTATAAGAGCATTCCTAATATTCGTGCATATATATATATATATATATATATATATATGTCTGAGGATAGTTGTCATTTTAGCAATATAGGAACTAATTTGAATCTGAACCCCAAGTTTTTTACAGTACTTTTTGGATATTTTTACAATTATTTTTTTAACATTGAAACAGTCTCTTTACACAACAGTGGCTGTGTATAAAAGAGCACATCTTGCTCCACAATTGAGAATTGTTTTATGCTCAAATAATGATTTTCTATTAAACAAATCATCCATCAAAATTAAGGCTGTAAAATGTTGATACTCAGATCAGCAGTATGGCATTGTAGTTCTACTTTATGATTTTCTTCTTGGCAATTACAGTTTATTAATGTATTAAGTGACAGCTTTAATTTTTTTTCAAATTTTTATAATTATCGTCTTTAATTACATATTTTATGCTAGGAAGATGTTTTCATATGTTTGATATTTATTTATTTCATCAAAGTTGAACATAATTACGAACAGAGAGACTTTCTTCTTCTTCTTTGTTGAATCTAATGCAAGACTATAATTAGATCTAATAATTGTTCTCGGATAATGAATGATAAAACATATTAAATTTAATGAGTTAAAACTCAAAAGACAAAATAGACTGCTTTTAAGAAAAGGAGGAAAACATGATATAAATTGAAGAAGTAGTCTGTTTATTATAAATTCTTTTATTTCATACTTTGTTTCTGGATCTTCTTCAGGGGAGCTCTCGCCTTCTAAAGCTGCATATCCTCTATCTTTCTTTGAATCTTTTTTATCTTTGCGCTTTCCGATGAGAAGATCTTTTTTTGATGGCCTTTCATGTGCATCATCACTAACTAAAATTAATGACAACACAAGTTAAAACACAAAATTAAGTACAGTTCATTCACAATTACAATTATTTATTAAATTTAGGGCAGGAAAAAATGATGTTTTTTTAAATAAAAAAATCTGATTTTTAAAATTTAAATCAGATTTATTTGATTTAAATTGCTACAAGACAATTACACTCGCTGATATGGAAAGATAAATTAAGTACGAGTATAAAAAGAAAATTAGACTAAAATGGTATGCAAAGATTGAACGAAGAGCGGTGGCCGAAAATATTGTGGAAATGGCAACCAGCTACCCATTGATGAAGAGGAAGACCAAGACTTACATGGGGAGAGGGAGTGGATGAGGCAAGGGAGAAGAGAGAAGTAATGAAGTCTACACCGATAGAAAGATGTGGAGGCTAAGGTGTGAGAGACACCCTAGGGTGTAATATAACTTGCTATACTACTACTACGACTACAAATTGTTTATTATTCGTTTCATTGGTTAGTTCACTTTATTGTATATTAAATTCTATTTTATTTTCTAAAAATTGTTCAATTATGCGAAAAGTTATTTGAAATATAATATATTCTATATATCAACTTGATATAGAGACTGATTTAGGTCTGTTTATCTGAGTAA